CTTTTCTGGGAGTACCCCCCCCCCCCACCCCCCACCCCGTGCTTTAAATAGAATAAAACCTTGAAATGATCGTGTTCTAGTGTAGAAAACACTTAAACACGAAAGAACAAATCAAAACGGAATGACGATCGTTAAGGATGGCAAAGATTAACAAGGACTGCAAATGACGAACTTGAAAAAACTAGGCTAATTTTTTTCAAGATGCGCGAACCGTGACGTAACTCCTTTAAAGCAAGTCATGTCCTTGAACTTTCGTACGTAAGTTTTCTCATTAATTGTAACGCCAACTGTAACGCTCACATATGACACGTAAATGTAGCCAAGAATTAGCTACTGATATTAACAACAATTTCAAAAGCGAGCATGGGAGGTTCACGCAAGCTTCGAGCCAGCTAACGTTCAAATATAACTACATCTGCCTGTTCATTACAGTTTAATGCGTAATGCGTGGGCCCGAAATGAACGACTTATACTCATGAGAGGACGCAATTAAATCATTTGGCAGATCGGGAATTCCGCCTAGGACTCGAATGGCAGAGTTGCAGCTGTAGCACTTAAAGGCCTTGGTGTCCTTTAGCCATTTAAGTTTATACTTGCGGGTTGGTGTTTTCTGAGAGAGTAGTGGATAGTGGTTTACCTGATCGTTGCCTTTTTGGGCGCTTCCCTTTGTTCCCGAGGGTTGATTTCTTCACAATTAAGTTGGCAGCGCTGGTCAAATTCCGCTTTTTGGCAAACTTTAGCTTACCATACCAGGTAAGGTAGATAGCGAACTCGTCTTCCTTTTCGGTAACGTTCAGGGCATGAGAGCAGTCTTAGTTGCTTTCCAGTGAGGACACTCGCATTCGACTTTCCCACCATCATCCATCAGGACATAATTTGGCCTTTTTCCAGATTGACTGGCGACAGAAAACGACCTTGATCCATCGGCAGCTCGAGGCCCTCGCCATCCATTATGTCTCGCAGACTTTATTTTGGCTTGTAACGCAACATTTCTTGTGTTCATTTAGCATATTTTAGTTTTCCACTTTTATTTTTTATTTATTATTATCTTATAAGCGATTTGATTTTTGTTTTGAATTTTTTTTTCTTTAAAACTTTGTTGTTTTGTTTTGTTTTGTTTTTTCTGTGATCCAATCCGTGATCCGATCCGTGATCCAGTCCGGTCCGATCCCGATTTTGTCGACGCCGATTCATAAATTCTTCAGACTTCAATTTTTAAGAAACTTACTTACCATTGGACTCCCATAAAAATAGCTTAGCTTCTGACACTCTTTGTCTTCCCATTAAGATGGCTAATCTTGATGCAGAATTTTATCACCGTTAAAAGATCCATGGTATATGGGTTAACGTTGCGTGACTAATTTTGTTGTAAACAACGTCACGAATCGAGGTTTCTCGGAAAGCGCTTCGAAGCAATAGGGCATTTTTCACAGCAATCGCATAACATGGCGAATCAGTTGAGTCAGAGAGTTGGCCTTTTTAATTGTGATGGCACTTATAAGCTGGATGCGGTGGAAAGATTTTTAATAGGAGTGCAAGAGAAACATGGCTTTGCGTTCTCAACAGACAAGCGCTATTTTGGTGTGAATGAAATGCCAAAGTTTTGCGAAACCATTCTTCCTCAGGTAGGGATGGATTTTGCAATTTTTGTCGTCCATGCGGAGGAATCCCGTCTCTCAATCAACGAAGACAACGCTGGTATTGGTTACACAAAGATCTACAGAGCATTGTTGCAGGCTACAGGTGAGCGGAGCGGAAGTTTGGGAAGTATAAGAAGTCGAAATCTTCCCCAAACGAGAACTACTCAGCACTCGAGAATTGACAAAATGTGGCAAAACGTTTCAAGTTAGAGATTTTTTTTTGGTATTCCTTCAAGAAAAGACCGAAAGAGACGAATTAAAACGGAACTGTAAGACCGAGTCGAAGACTTTCGCTTTCGAAATTTATCACAATGCGGATCGATTGTTATTCGTCCTAAGCGGAAGCTGTTTCGGGGGTAATGTTTGAGTTATTTTCGTGTTTTTTGGTGAGGATCTGTGTGCTGGTTCTTTCTTTATCGTGAAATGCAGAACGTGGTGAGACAATTTCTCGTTGTTGATTTACATTGCAAAGTGATGTACGGGAAAGGGCGCTGGCAGTAGATAATGGCGCATGTAAACGTACATAAATCGTTATTCAACACGAACTCCTTTGCTTGAAAAACACTTCTTCTATTCTGCTTCAAAGAACCGTTGTCAGATCAAGAAGGGGTTTTTATTCTTTGAATGGCATTTGACAAACGATTTCAATACCTTAGCTATCTCTTGGGTACGAGGATCAAGGGATTAAGAACTGACAACAACATAAAGGATACATCATATCAAGGTCGAGGGATTGATGAATATTTACTTTTCTGAGAAATAATATCGCTTTTTGTAGCATTACATACAGTATTTTTTTCCCTCCCTCGCCGCGCGAAGTTTTTCTTTGAATGTTTAAAAACCATTTTTAAACCGTCATTCGTTATGAATTACTGAATCTACATCTTATTTTTCTTATCCAGATGGCAGGGTGTTAATAGTGATTGGTGGAGACGATCACTACAGAGATAAAGAGGAAGAGGAACGTACTGTGATCTCGCGTTGGGCTCGAAGGAAAGTGGCTTCACAGTTCAATGAGGAATACCTTGATGGAAGAAAAAGTTTCATCTTTTCTTGGAACAAACAACACCGAGAGATCCACGAGGAAGCGCTGCTGCATTACTTTGATCCAAGCAAGAAAGGGCAGAAGTTCGAATATCAGCCAAAACTAAAACCAGTACCCTTACAGGCTAAAACCGAAGAACCTATAATCACATCACGAGAGGTAAGGAATACCAGACTATTTTCTAATAACTACTTCACTTTCTAGCCGGAACGTAGATTATTTAATTTATTCAACTGATTACTGAATTGTTTTTACTGATCATGTTTGGTTACAGTACACACCCACCTACAAATAAGAACCTAAATTTTTCCAAGTTAGCCTAAAAAGTGTTTTTTGATTTGTCTACCGAGAAATTAGGCTTTGTCATGGTTTTGAACTGGTATTGCATATGCAAATGAATTGTCTTTCCTTATTTAGTGGAAACATCTAGTTACACCTAAAGTATAAGACAACCTGTATGTAGATTTTAATTAGGAAATACTGTATATATATCCTTCTCTAGATCGTCTGATCTAATTCAGGTTCTTTATTATCAATACACCTCAACATATATTCTAAATGACAACCTACTTCAAATTTTAGGCTCAACGGGTTCAAATGTCAAAATGTTAGCCTATAGTCTTAATTACTAGGTTCTTAAAGGGAGCGCTTACTTTAGTACTATTTTGCAAAAGACAAACACAGTCGCTGGAAAAGAGAACAAAAGCTGTAGTTTTTTGTCTTTTGCCAATTGCCTTTATTATAACAAAACAAACCATCAATGATCGAACTTACATTTAGAGGGAACACTGAGAAGAGAAGAAGGAGTGAGTAGGTCGGAAGGAATTAGGCGAATCCTTATGGTGGCCCGTTCTGGTCAAAATTGTAGTAATAAAATTGCCCCA